AAAAAAAAAAAAAAACCATGAAGACATTTTACATGGGTCCATATATAATTAACAGGTAAACTTTACAATACTTTAAAAAAGGGGGTGTTTGGATGGCTCAGTTAGTTGAGTATCCGACTTCGGTTCAGGTCATGATCTAATGGTTCACGAGTTTGGGCCCCGAGTCCAGCTCTGTGCTGACAGCTCAGAGTCTGGAACCTGTTTCGGATTCTGGGTCTCCCTCTCTCTCTGCCCCTCCCCCACTGGAGTTCTTGTCTCTCTCTCTCTCAAGAATAAACATTTAAAAAAATTAAAAAACAAAACAAAACAATACTTGAAGAGTTCCTTTATTAGAAACATCAATACCGGACATCAAAATAATATAGGAGGGGAAAAAAGCATAATTAAAAAAATGTTTTATTTATTTTTGAGAGAGAGAGAGAGAGCACGTGTGCACATGAGTGGGGAAGGGGCAGAGAAAGAGGGGGACAAAGGATCCCAAGCAGGCTCTGCGCTGACAGCAGTGAGCCTGATGCGAGACTCAAACTCACTAACTGTGAGATCATGACCTGAGCCAAAGTCTGATGCCCAACTGACTGAGCCACCCAGGTGCCCCAAAAACATAATTTCTTTTAAAATTTTTTTTTTTTCAATGTTTATTTATTTTTGGGACAGAGAGAGACAGAGCATGAACGGGGGAGGGGCAGAGAGAGAGGGAGACACAGAATCGGAAACAGGCTCCAGGCTCTGAGCCATCAGCCCAGAGCCTGATGCGGGGCTCGAACTCACGGACCGCGAGATCGTGACCTGGTTGAAGTCGGACGCTTAACCGACTGCGCCACCCAGGCGCCCCCATAATTTCTTTTTAAAGTTTATTTATGTATTTACTTGAGAGAGACAGACAACGCGAGTGGGGGAGGGACAGACAGAGAGGGAGAGAGAGAATTTCAAGCAAGCTCTGCGATGCCAGAGCAGAGTCCGATGTGGGGCTCGAACTCATGAAACCCTGAGATCATGACCTGAGCCCAAACCAAGAGCTGGATGCTTAACTGACTCAGCCACCCAGGTGCCCCAGAAAAAAGCATAATTAAAGTGCAATAAAATGTTATGAAAAACAAAATACCCATCTGGATCTTGAAGGGGAGGAAGAACCGGGGCTTCTCCCTCCCTTGGGGCTATGTGGGTCTCTCCCTGGCTCTGATTTGGGGGCCCTGCCTGCGACAAGTGATGGGATACTGCTGGGGACATGCCCAATGACTGTCGGGTGTGTCCATGGTGAAGGTCTGGACAGGCTGCTTGTCCTCTGCAGGACTCCAAGCCTCACACCTGCTGCCCCCCAGACCACACCCTCCTGTGGTGAAGCCCAGCCCACTATTTTGTGATAAATGGCAAGTATTTTCTTCCTCTGATAAAGGACTCAATAAACAGCACTGGATGAAGAAAAAAAAAAGGATTAAAATGTGATAAAATATTTTGAAAAAAACACCCATCTAGATCTTGAAGAAGAGGAAGAACAAAGAGCCAGGCTCGGAGGCCTCAGGCTAGGGAGGGCGGGAAGGGTCTGGAAGGATAGGGGCCTGCCTGTGGGTCTGCAAACAAGCCGCAGATGGAGAAGATGGTGACACAGCTTTTGGACTCCCAGAAGCCACTGAGAGTGTGGCTCCAACAGCCCAGTCAACTCGGGTATCCAAGGACTGGAATGGAATGCCTTTAAGTAGCAAAGATGATATGAGATAAAAAGCTTTTTGTGCAAATGGTAGGTTGAGACAGCACCAGATGCAGCCACTCAGTCAGCAAGTAGGAATATGGACTACTCCGGTCTCTCTGATGACCTGACAGAACAGAGGGCACACAAAACAAGAGATTAAACCATGCCCAGCCTTTGCGGACATTACAACTTGACTCGGTTGGTCGGCCTTGCTAACTCTCAGTTGTGCATTTCAACCAAACCTGGTGGGGAAATCTGATTCATGTCCTGGGTAGGCCGAAAGGTGGTCCCCTTAAAAGATGTGCACGTTCAGTTCCCCGGGAGCTGTGACTCCATCACCTTACATGATAAAAGGGACTTTGCAGGTGTGATTGAGTTAAGGATCTTGAGATGTGGAGAGTGTCCTGAGTGATCCAGGTGGGCCCAATGTTGTCACAGGATCCATGTAAGAGGGAGGCAGAAGGGTCACAGTCAGAGGAGATGTCACGACTGAAGCAAGAGGTCAGAGTGGTATGAGGAAAGGGCCTCTGGAAGCTGGAAAGACCAGAACAGACTCTCGGCTGGAACCTCCAGAAGGAGCCAGCACCACTGACACCTTGATTTTAGACTCCTGACCTCCAGCAATGTGCGATAATACATTTATGTTTGTTTTCAGCCATTAAGTTTGTGTCGCTTTGTTATGGTGGCCATAAAAAACAAAACAAAACAAAACCCTAATGGATGTGATTTATGAAACTGTTTTACCTCTATGCAGCTAACCTCATTACACAGAAGAATCATGTTCAGAGAACTTATGGCCGAAGCATCGTTGCACCTGACAGCTGTGCTTTACCTGATGTTATTGTCTGTCTTCCTTGGCTGAGCTTTCTGATTATGGTCTCTCTGTCCATGTTATGAATAGCACTCAGCATAATGAGTAACCTCCGATGAACCATGATCTGGAGTGAGAAGGGACAGCTTCAGATTATTAAATTGGTACATGCTCATTTTGACGTACGAGTTAATTCATTTTCCCCAACCACGCTAAGGGCTGAGGCCTCGGCTCTAAGTCAGACTTCACAGGGAAAATGGCACACTGCCCCAGGGTGAGGCCACAGGGACTTCAAGGTCTCGGCCATGTTGACTTGCCTGAATACAAACAAAGACCAAGTTGTCATCTGGCCTTGTCCCACCCAATTTATGAGCCCTGTTTTTCTATTTCCAGAGTGGAAAGAATGACTAGTCCCACATTCCTTCTTTTTAGTGTATCTGAATAATAATGCTCCTGCCGTGTTATTTTCAGAGTGGAGGGACCAAATAAATAGATGATTATGTGGGAATAGGGTTGTGGATTTTGGGCAATGCTAACTGTCTATCACTGTGCTTTGCACCCAGAGCACCTGCTACTGGAGGTGAGTGCTACCTGTGCACAAAGCTGTGGCTGAAAGGACCATTCCTTCCATGATTAATACCCCTTTCCATCCTGTAAAGGACTCTATTTAACAAATAAATAGTACAACGTGCCAGTGCTGTGGCCAGTTCTGTTCAAGGTATTGCAGATACCATGAGATCAAACAATTGTCCTGCCTGCACAGAACTGATGTTCTAGGGGTGTGTGTGTGTGTGTGTGTGTGTGTTGGTGTGTGTGTGGGGGGGTGATAACAATAAACATTTAAATGAATCTACAGGATAAATACCATGAAGATGATAAAAGAGTAAATGCACAAGGGCATGACCGAGGGACTGGAAAGGGGGTTGGTCTGGCCACTGGTGCAAGAATAATTAGGCAAGACCTCACTGAGGATGTGAGGCTTGATCTCAGACTTGATGAGGAGGAGAGAATAACCTGGGAAGAGAATTCAGAGCAGCGAGTATGAAGATCCTGTTTCAGGAACAAAGGAGACCTATTTAAGGGACAGAGAGAAGTCCAGTGTGGCCTTGGCCTTGACAACAGTTGTGCACTTCATTCCGATTGCAATGGGAAGGCTCTGGAGGGTTTTACCAGGGGAGAGGTGTCGTCACCTTTAGGTTTTGGGAATGCTAGTCTGGCTGCCATGGGGGCACTGGAAGCAGGGAGAGCTGTTGCCCTGGTCCAGGCAGGGGATGATGGGGCTGTGGCCGATCCAGGGAGATGGCAAGAAGTCATCAAACTGGGCGCATATTTGTACATTGAGCTGACAGTCTTGCTGAGGAGTGAGGGAAAGACTGAGCCATCACTTAGAGCAAAGCACATGACTGCTGACAATACTTTTTCACACTGGAGGGCTCACCCCAGAAAGGCCGTGTGGTCCCGCTGCTGGGGAAGCCAGCCTGGCCAGTCTCACTGTTGTTTGCCCCTTGTCAACACCTGTGCCCTCGTCCCTTGACAGTTTTGTGCTGCCTCTTTCCACCACTTTCTTCCCCACACTGGAGCATCTTGGGGCCACCTCTGTTCACACATGCAGAGCCCTACAGGGCCCTGGAGGTTGACACACAGGTCACCCATCAGCAGGCTCTGCCTCTCTCCCCCTAGATTGTCATCAGTCCACACTGAAAACACTGCTCGAGGGGCACCTGGGTGGCTCAGTCGGTTGAGGGTTCGACTTCGGTTCAGGTCATGATCTCGCAATCTGTGGGTTCGAGCCCCGCGTCGGGCTCTGTGCTGACAGCTCGGAGCCTGGAGCCTGCTTCGGATTCTGTGTCTCCCTCTCTCTCTGACCCTCCCCCACTCACGCTCTGTCTCTGTCTCTCAAAAATAAATAAACATTAAAAAAAAAAATGTCCAGAAGAGGTGAATCCATAGAGACAGAAACAGATCAGTGGTTGCCAGGGACTGGGGGATGGAGAGGGGCTCCTAATGGGAACCAGGTTTCTCTTTGAGGTGATAAAAAATGTTCTAAAATTAATTGTTGATTGTCAAATCGTACACCTGAAACTAATAAAACATTGTATGTCAGCTATACTTCAATAAACTTTTAAAAAAATGTTCTTAAGCATGGATGGTGATGGCTGTACCACTCTGTAAATATATTAAAACCCACCAAACTGTCTACTTTACCAAGAGTGAGTTTTATGGTATGTGAATTATCCCTCAATAAAGCTGTTATAAAAAAATTCACTGCTTGATTTCCTTGTACTGAGGGCTACACGAATTGAAATTTCCGTCTGGTGCTGGGACTCACCTTGCGGGCTGCTTGTTGAAACCGCCTTTGCGCCCTGAACCTGTTGACCCAAGTATTATTAATGAGTGGATCAAAATTAGGATGCAATTCCTTGATTTTCTGTGAACACAGAACACAGGCACATCTTAGACTTAAAATTCAACTCCAGGCATGAGCATTTAATAAAAACATTTATTTAACTCCAGGCATGAGCATTTAATAAAAACGTAGACTTCGATCCCAAATCAAGTTATTATTTATTTGTTCTGCTACTGAATGAGCATTTATTCAGCACTTTAAGTGTATGTAGCAATAAAGAGACTTCTTGCAGGGGGTGGGGATGGCAAACATGGGATTTGCGATTTGGGTTTTAAGAAATTTACAGTCTAGGGGCGCCTGGGTGGCTCGGTTGGTTAAGCATCCGACTTTGGCTCGGGTCATGATCTCACAGTTGGTGAGTTTGAGCCCTACATTGGGCTCTGTGCTGACGGCTCAGGGCCTGGAGCCTGCTTCGGATTCTGTGTGTCTCTCTCTGTCCGTCTTCTGCTCACGCTGTCTCTCAAAATAAATAAATGTTTTGTTTTTTTTTTTAAAGGAAATTTTAGAGTCTAGAGAAGCTCAGGCAAATACATGCAACCCTGAAGAGGAAGAGGCTTGCAGAGCAATCCGTCCCATGTGGTGGGTGCTGGCACTGCCACATTGAGAGGCGCAGACTCTATGATCCCCACCCAACCCCCCCAGTGCAGAAGGAGGAGGGCTCTGCT